CCCCGCTTCATCCGGGCACCCGGGCGCGCGCGCCACCGCCGTGTCACAACTTTCTTCCCCCCCGCGTGGCGGATCCCGGCGCGCGTGCTCTCCCAGGAAATATAGTCCCTGCCCGGCCCCGGCTCCCGGCCCGACCCCGCTGGAGCGGCCTGCGGGGTCCGGCGGGGGGCGGCGGGGCGAGCGCGGGGCGGGGCGGGGGCGGCGGATGGCGCGCGGGGGGGGGCGCGCGGGCGGGGGCGCGCGGGGAGGGGTCCCCCCAGCTCGGCGGAAAGTGAGTAATGAGTCCGTGTCCCCAGCGAAGAGGCGAAGAACTTGCCGTGCACACCGAGTACTTGTGTCTGCCGGCTGTCCTGCCGCTTTTCCTTAGTATTGTTGTTCTTGGTGTCGCCACTCCTTTTCTTTTTAATTTTTTTTTTAATTTTTCCTGGGTTTCCTTTTTTTTTTTTTTTTCTTTCTTTTTTTTAGTTACTTTAAAAAATTGTTTTCTTCCATTTTTCCGCGGAGGGAGGGGTGACTGCCTGGCTGGCTGGCGGGTCTGTTGCAAAAAGCGAGAGAGAAAATCAAAACCAAAACAAAAAAAAGCCAAAAAAGAAAAAAAAGAAAGGCAGGAAAAAAAAAAGCCAAACAAAACCAAACCAAAAACCAAACCAAACAAAAAAAAAACTTCACTCGGATCTGAAAGTGGCAGGAAAGTGCCTGGCAAGTTGCAGGGATGGAGCTACACAGCTTGCAGGAGGCGTTAAAAGTGGAAATCCAATGTCACCAGGTAAAAGAATGAAATGCTGAGGCAACCAGCCGTGCTCTGCCTCCGATCGGGGCTCGCAGGACCGGTGTTGCATGTTCGGCGAGAGCCTTCGTGCCGCAGCCACCAGGGGAGGGGGCTTGGGGGGGGCGCGGCGGGGACCCCCGGCCCCCCGCCGCAATGGCGAGCACTTCCCCAAAGTACTTTTACGGCTTGTTTGGCTGAGTTTTTTGTGTGTGTGTGCTGTGGAGATGCGGAGTCAACGCTGCAGTCGGTGCTAGTGTGTGTGCGTGAGTGTGAGAGTGTGTGTGTGTGTGTGTGTTGGAGAGATTAGGACGAGACTTGAATATTTATGAGCTTTGCTTGAAACTGACTCGCAGTGTTTACTTGCCTCTTTGTTCCTTACCCCCCTCCCTCCCCCGTCCACACACATACATACATTTAAAATAATCCATTAAACTTGAAACAGTTTCTAATTCTTCCTTTTTTGGGGGTGATTTTTTTTTTTTTATAGAAACTAGTTGCACAGATGAAGCAAGATCCACAGGTAAATGCAGATTTTTTTTTTTTTTTTTTTTCTCTTCAGTATTTTATCCCTGCCGTAATAAGCGCAGTTGTGCTGGGACAGCAGGATGAGAAACTTTATCAGTAAGAGATCTCATTTTGTAGTCTGCACTGAGCTTTCTTGCTAAGGAGGGTGTTTTGTGTATGCATGCTTCTGTACAGCTTCAGTGGAATGGTTTTGCCTTTGAAAAATTTCTAGCTCGCAAGTTTATTCATTACAGGGGTTAGTTTGCACTTTGCCTTTAATATGCGTCTTGTTGCCGTTTTTGCAGAACGGAGATCTTAAGAAACAAATCCATGAAAGGCAATCAAGAATAGCAGCTCTTAATGAGAAACAAGTAAGGAACAGATCGATTCAGTTGTGTTTGGTTTTTCTTCTTGTTTTTACGATGCACTATCTAAACATCCGAAAAGTGTCTGAAAATGCTGGCGGCAGGGGATATAACATCCATTTTCTTTTGCATAGAGTCAGAAAATGCATGTTTTCATAATAAGGTCGGATTCTCTGATGTCTTGCTGGGGGAAAGAATTATTTCAGTACTTGTAGTAAAAAGATAAGCAGTAGTTAAAACGTAAGAAAAAAAAAGGCGTCCATTTTGAGTTGGTCGACATGTTTTAGGAATATGGAAAATTCTTCTGTCTTGGGCTACTTTGTGCACTTCTGTGTAATGTGCAGAACAAGAGTTGGGAAGGAGGAGGCTGGAGCCCCGTTTGGAGACATTTCTGTGTTTAATTACAAAACTGACTTTTATTGATCACTTTATTTCTTTTTATTTTTCTTCTTCTTCCCCCCCCCCCCCCCCCCCCCCCCTTTTCCTCCCCACTTGCCTTTCTCTTCGCTTGGTCTGATCTGACGTGTTGGCTTTTGATTCGAGTTCACTTAGGCACTTTCACTTTTTTCTCCCCCTTCCAAAAATACGAATAAATACAGATTAACCTGTTTCAGCTGCCAGCGAGAGGGGGAGAAAAACCAAAAAACCGACAAAACGGAGAGAGAAACAAAACAAACCAGGAACCTTCCTCCCTGCCTCTTCCCCTCCCCGTTCCCCCGCCCTTCCTAAAGTTTCTCCTGGCTGTTTTTGTGCCGGGTGACCCCGGGGCCGCTGCTCTTGCCGAGAGGGGCCCGGAAGGAAAGTTTTGGTGCGGGGGGCGGCGGGGCGGCGGGCGCTCAGCACCGCGGACAGCGCCACTCGCCATTCCTGCCCGCCCAGCTCCCCGCGCCCCCCGGCCTCTCTCCCGGCACTTCCAGCGCGGGAAAGGCAGTTGGAAAAGCCAGCGGGAGATCTGCCGGCCCCAGCCCCGCTCTCCATCCCGGGCCTGAACTTTCCGGGTCGCGCCCGGGCCCTCCGCGGCCGTGATGGGTTTCTGTGCTCCGCTCTCCCCGGCCTCGAGCACCGTTCAGCACCGGCGCTGGGGACAGCACCCGCCAGCCCAAAGCCGCCCCTTCCCTCCCGACACAGGCAAAGGGGACACGTGTTCCGCTCCCCCTGCTTTTCCCCGTCCTTCTTCTTATTTTATTTATTTATTTATTTATTTATTTATTTTTTCTTGTATGTATGCGTTCTGTTTTGTTTCGCTGGAGTTGTGGTTAAAGTTGCAAAGTGACTGTGTGATGCGTGCCTGCGGGCGATGGCTGCACGCCACCCTTTTCCTCCCAGTTTATTGTTATGAGAATTGGTCAGCACTCTCAGTTTAGTAGTGGAAGCTTCCATTTTGTGAGGAAGGGGTGTTTGTTCCTCCTAACATGGAGAAAAGTCTGCGGAGTTTGCCGGTGGGGGATGGGGCCCCATTCATGCTGAACATTACCATTTTGATTGCTTTGATGCCATTTTTGGAGGGGGGAGGGGAGAGAATACCCTACTCAGCAGAGCACAAAGATGTTTAATCACTGTATAGAATCAAATCAGATAGTTTCTTTTTTAAAGCAAATCTGACACTACATGATATGTAAGGGCTGTTAGTCCTTGTTTTGCAGTGTAAAACAGCAAGTTGTTGACTCTTAATACTACTGTATTGGGTAGAACCTTGTGGGTTTTTTTTTTTTTTTTTTAATAAGCTAAAAGCCTTTCCTGCAACAATGCATCTTAATGTGTTGTTTCTTAAATATCAAAATAGTTTTACTGTCTAAGTGGGTATTTGGAACGTAGATTTCATCATTTCCCCCTATATTGTAGCAACTATTTCAAGGCTGTTTAAATTTTTATGATCGTAGTAAATGAGAAGCTATTTATTATATGTCATGTTGGAATTTAGATAAAGCAGAGAGACACATTTGAAAATTCAGTTTGAACATTCTGATTCAGCTTGGGGAAAATGGCTTTTGCTAAGCTTGCAGAGCATATTTATGTGTAATCCAAACTAACTAGTAAACAATCTTTGTATATTTATGACTTGCCATTCTCATAATCTTGTAAATAAATCTATAGACCATGAAATAATTAAATATAAAATACCTAAATTCTGTAAACAGAAAATTTGGCCTAGCAGGAAACCTCCTATTTTTAGGCAAGCCCTTAAATTTCTTTTACTGTTTTCAACATCCTCTGCAACAAGAGCTCATAATTAAGTGCCTGGCTGGTGGTGTGGTGTACTCGTGCTCCAGGCTGCCACCTCCAGAGGTCTACACTGAAATCTTTCTGGGGTCACACATGAAATGAGTTTGGAGGTCTTAGCTTGTGACCAAGTCACAAACCCATTCTGTAACTTTGCAGACTTGCTATAATTAGTAGTTGCTCCTTAGATAATGGCTTGTAAATGAACTCTGTGTCCTTGAGGGTATAGAGAAGGAGCAGTGAGGACCACGGAGACCACAGATGGGCTAATGGTGGAGCTATTTGGTGGTTTGAAGCCCTCACTTTCACGGAAACACCAGTGTAAATTTAAATAGGCAGTTCAAGTAGGGAGGTTATTTTTACATATGTATTTACATCCCTTCCTCCTTAATGCCCCCAAAGACTTGTTTAGGCACAACTAATTCATAATTCAATAGTGTATACCTTTGATTGTACATGCACTGAATACAAAAGACCCTAAAATTGCATTTCAGTTTAACTGCACATGTTAATGATGAAACAGTAAAACAAACAAAGAAACCCTACCTACACCTGTTAGGAACATAACAGGAGTGAGTGTTATCTCTCAGTGCTGCTATTCATCACTTTTCATTGTAGATGGCTACAATGGCATTTGTGGCAATGTGTACTTTTCTTGAAAGTTACAGTGAAGACAAAAAAAATTGAATGACAAACTCAACTTTTGAGGGAAATTTTTGAAGTAGACTTTTATGTGTAGCTGGATTTAAAGTTGCATCCTAATTAAGGATCCCTGGCTAGTCATCGATGTTTCTTTAATGTTGGTGGGTTAGAGAAATATAGAATTTTGCATAGTTTTAATATTTTTCAGTGTCTTCAAAGAAGTACTGTAGATCCATCATTTTCATTACTGGAAGGTAAGAGCTTCAATCAGTTCTTAATTTGGCATCCAACTCAGAAAGACAAGTTAGACTTCTGTCACAAATACATCAGATGGTGTAGTTTTGATTAATTGTCATCACCTTTGAGAGTGGGTTACCTCTTCTTTAACGAGATATGATGTGTGAAGACTCCATTAGTTAGTCCAGTGGTTTTATACCTTCCATCTACAGCACATGCAGAGCAGCAATAACATTTTTATCTAAATTGTAAAGCAAGAAGCATTTATATGTAAATAAAAGAGCCATCATAAGAGCCAGCACTGGCCTTAATAGCACACCAGAGGTGCTCTGCTGCATGTGTTTCTTGTACTTTATGTCATTAAGGAGTTATTAAGGGTCTTTTAATTCTAGAAAGTTGTCTCTTATTAATTAATAGATCAGGATAAAAAAATAAGCAAATCTTTAACCTCCACTGGAAGTTCCTTTTTACTTGTTCCTCCTTTTACTGTAAGTGTTAGGTGGCAAGCCAGGTCTTTAGCAATGAACATGTGTGGGCCACTATATTTTTGACCATGATGAACTCTGAATTCAGACAGCCTGTCCTGGAGCACAGTAATAAAAATACGCCTTCCCGAAAGACATTATGCCATTCACTTGTGTGCTGCCTCATTTCTTTACCATTATTTACTGTCTATGAAGAAAATCAACATTAGTTTCAGGCAGAGTTTCCCAGCCTGTGTTATTGCTGGTTTGGGTATTTTTTTTTGGGTAGTATATCTGAAATGAAATCACTGACTGTGTTTTGCCTGTGGTGATCACCAGCAAAGCCTGTTTCTGGAAAGTGTTAGGCTTCTTAAAATTGAAGTACAGTTCTTGTGCAAGTTGTTGGAGTTGGTTTAGGTCAAGATGTCTCATTGTGCTGATGTTGTCTCTTTGTTTTGGGGAAGAGGAGGAAGTGGATTTTTGGGTTTGTTGATGTTCATGCTGGGCTGTGCCTGCAAATGGCAGCATTATTTACATAAGTTGAAGAGTAAATTATTGATATTGCCAGAGCTCAGTATTTCATATGGCTGAGTTATTTCAAATTGATTAAGGTAAAATAAGGGTTATAAGCTTCAGTGGAAAGCCAGGTAAAATCTGAAAGGTATTTCCAGATTGAGTTGAACCTGATGTCAAACTCTGACCCAAGGTATGCACAGCCCTCCCTATTGCTGTGGCAGAATTGCATCCGTGTCTGGGGCTGGATGTCAGGGGCGTCAGGGGTGACGGGCTCCCACCCAAGTGGAGTACTAAACTTTTCTATCACTGCACTGTGTCTATAAACACAAAGACAGCTGGTATTAAATATGAGCCATTCTTCTGCATACTGAGGTCCTGCTGACTTTGCTGGGAATCCTGAGCAATTGTAGAATAAAATGAATTTACTGGATCAGAGTAAAGATTAGTTCTGGATTGTAATTCAGAAAGCTCCTGTTCCCAGAAAGCTCCAGTCCCTTTTTTTTTTTTTTTAATTGTAAAATCAGGTGGCAATGTATTGCTTATTTTGCCATCTGTAGAAAGAGGGAAAAAACTAGGGAAGGATTTACCTTCAACTCCTTGGAGGAGAAACTTAGGAATGTAGTTTGCATAATGACAATCCTATCATTCTGTTTGTGCTTTCAGTAACAGCATACTGAGATTCCCATGTCCTATTGGAGAAAAAGGGTAATAAATGCCATTTTCATGGGGGAATGGAAATATGGCTTTCAGCCTGCCATTACGTTGCCCTTATAAAGATTCATGTAACAAAAATTTGTACTAGAGGGGTTAGAACCCCATTTTGTTTGGTAGCTGTTTGACTGGCATGGGAAATGCTATTTTGTTCCAGCATTTTTCTTTGACTGTACACTTTTCTCTACTTACACAGTGTATAACTTGGCAGGGCTA